ATTTAAACTCTCCAACTGAGTAATGTCATGTGGCAAAGCATAAACTAAAGTGTACACCATAGTGTACATGTAGCAAGATTCTTACCGATTGAACTTTGCTATTTGTACACAGATTTTTTACGTGTTGTTTGACACTTACATTGTTGTCAAGTGTCAATTGGATGGGAAAACTGTTTGAAATTTAAATTGTCCAATCGGGTAATGTCACGTGGCAATGTGTAAACTAAAGTGTACACCATTGTGTACATGTAGCAAGGTCCTTACCGATTGAACTTTACTATTTGTACATTGATTCTTGAAACGTTCTTTGACATTTACATTGTCATGTAGTGTAAATTGGATTGGAAAATTGTTTGAAATTAAACTGTCCAACGGGGTAATGTCACGTGACAAAGCGTAAATTAAAGTGTACACGTAGAAAGATCATTTTCGATTGAACTTTGCTATTTGTACACCGATTTTTGACACCGTGTTTGACCCTTGTGTTGTTGTCAAGTGTCAATTGGATAGGGAAACTATTTAAAATTTAAGTTGTCCAACTGGGTATTGTCACGTGGCAAAGTGTAAACTAAAGTGTACACCATAGTTAACGTAGCAAGGTCCTTACCGATTGAACTTTGCTATTTGTGCACTGATTTTTGACACGTTGTTTGACACAAGCATTGTTGTCAATGTCAATTGGATGGGAAAACTGTTTGAAATTTAAGCTATCAAATAGGATAATGCCACTTGGCAAAGTGTAATCTAAAGTGTACACCATAGTGTACATGTAGCAAGTTTCTTACCTATTGAACTTTGATATTTGCACACCCATTTTTGTCACGTTGTTTGACACTCACGTTGTTTTCAAGTGTCAATAAGAGAGGAAAACTATTTGAAAGTTAAACTGTTGAACAGGTAATGTCACGTGGAAAAGTGTAAACTAAAGTGTACACTAGAGAGTCCGTGTAGCAAGGTGCTTACCGATTGAACTTTGCTATTTGTACACTGATTTTTGACACGTTGTTCGACACTTACACTGCTGTCAAGTGTTAATTGGATGGAAAAATTGTTCAAAATTTAAACAGTCCAATAGGGTAATGTTACGTGGTAAAGTGTAAACTAAAGTGTACCCCATGGTGGAAATCTAGCAAGGTTCTTACTGATTGAACTTTGCCATTGGTGCACTAATTTTCGACATGTTGTTTAACACCTACATTGGTTTCAAGTGTCAATTAGATGGAAAACTTTTTGAAATTTAAACTGTCCAACAGGGTAATGTCACGTGGCTAAGAATAAACTAAAGTGTACACCGTAGTGTACATGTCTCAAGGTTCTTTCCGATTGAACTTTGGTATTCGTACACTGATTTTTGATACGTTGTTTGGCACTTGCATTGTTGTCAAGTGTTAATTGGATATAAAAACTGTTTGAAATATAAACTGTCCAATAGAGTAATTTCACGTGGCAAAGTGTAAACTAAAGTGTACCCCATAGTGTACTAGTAGCAAGGTTCTTACTGATTGATCTTTGCCATTTGTACACTGATTTTTGACATGTTGTTTGACACCTGCATTGTTGATACGTGTCAATTAGTTGGAAAAACTTTTCTAAATTTAAACTGTCCAGTAGGGTAATGTCACGTGGCAATGTGTAAATTAAAGTGTATGATAAGTGTGTTTTTGCACACTTATTTAGATCACAAACATGACTTAATTACGAGCAAAATGTTTAAATTGTGATTTAATCTCGTTGGTTTCATGCAATGTAGGTGTTTCTATAGAAATGGTGGAATTCAGGAGAAAAGAGCTGGAAAAGGACTAAAATGGAGCAAACTGAAAGTTCGGGGACCAAGTTGCAAATAATCCATAGATGAGATAGAAATGGAATGAAGATTCAAAAGTGTTAGAGGTCAGTTGGATGAGAAAATGAGTTAACAGGTGAAATATGGTCGAAGTATTATCAAGTATGATCTTTCAGGCGGAAAAACTATGCTCGTGATTTTTAGTATCTACTCGACATCCATTTTTGGCATAGTAAACATCAGAATTTGAGGAAGCCTATTTCTATTAAAATGTATATCTATGAGTTCTCTTTCCAACACACTTTGAATCATCTCAATTGGATATTGGGAGACGAAGATATGATCAAAATACTGAAAGTTGTCCAATGGAAAAATTTCTATAACCATGTGGTCGCATGGTATAAAATTGTGACTAAATCTCAGGTTTCCTTATTCATCTCAAACACGATTTAGTAAGGTTTTGGGCGACTTCCTTGACCTAATTTCGTCCCCAATAAATGCCAGACACCTTGAAACATAAAGAGCAGGAGAATATACACAATTTTAAAGGATTTGGAGAGGAAGAACAAGGCAACCCACTTCAAGATTGAAGATTTCACTTCAAGAATCAATTGGGTGATGTTCTTCCTTGGTTTTAATTTTTGTTTTTCTTTATTTCCCATTATGTTAGGCTAGATTTTCATGTGCTAGGATTTGTGATGAACCTTATATTATGAACCCTTAATCTTGAATTTTATTAATTTGACGTTAAAACATATTTTTAATTATTGAATGATTGGCATGGATTTTATTTTCTCTACAATTATGTGCGCAATAGTTGTATGAGCTTTGTAGCTTGTTTTACCCTCGAGAGATGGAAAATAAGTTAGACATTATATTAATTGTCGTCAAGTTTGATAAGGGATAGAAATATGCCGCTATGCTTTACGTGATCTTTAAGTATTCATAAATCTTTAATGCATTTTTAAATGTTCGCATCCATCATAGAACTATAGTCGGATCGCATTTGAAAATAGGTTTAATTCTACTCGAGAGAGATTGTTAAACAAATTAGGAATATTGGTCTTCATAATTGAATCGTGTTGTTAATTTTATAAAATTTGGATTAAAGGGGATTGATATAAGGGGATTCGAGATCCTAGTACGCACTTCATTATCATATTTTTATAAAACTGGCATTTAGTTATAATCACACATTTAGTCTAGTTAATTTAGGCTTTATATTTATAAGTAGGTTATTAAATCATAATTTAGTTAGCGAAAATATCAAGAATTTCTGTTGTTTCGGTTAAGGCGACGATAGGTAAAATTGAACTAATCAATCTCTGTGGGACGATATTCGGACTCATTTAATCTACTTTATTACTTGTTAACAAACCGTACGCTTGCGGTAGTTTTAAATTGAAAGAAATAATTTCGTGAACAAGTTTTTGGCGCCGTTGCTGGGGATTGAGTTTAGTTTAATTTTATTTCTCAAGGCACTATTTCGAACTTCAATTTTTATTTTGCTAGTATAATTCTATTTTTATTTTAGGTTATTATCCCTTATTTGTGTTTAGTTATTTAAATTGTTTGAATCTCAGTGCTCGTACCGATTTTGTTTCTTAGATTTACATGGCATGATCGACTGGGGGAGAATTGATTCCAGCTGATCCTGAAATCGAGCCCACCTTTCATCGTCTACAAAGAGATCATCGAGAAGCACAAGTACAAATGACTAACGAACTAAACAATCCTATTATTCAAGCTAATGAAGGAGAGGCAATGGACGAAGGAAGTGAGATTCTGGGAGATTTCTTGACTCCTCAAGTAATTCAAAGTCAATCCAGAATAGTGTATCCACCGTTTGGGCAGCCAAATTTTCAGTTGAAGACAAATGTGATACAGCTATTTCAAAATGGACACTAGTTTTATAGCAAAGCTGAGGAGAATCCATATACACACATATCTCAATTTTTGGATATGTGTCAACATTTCAGATACCAAAGGATTTCGGACGACGCTATTAGACTAAGGCTATTTCCACATACGCTATGAGATAGAGCGCTTGAATGGTTGGATTCATTTTCGGTCGCAAGTATCACTACATGGAATGAGTTGGCACACAAATTTTGCATAAAGTTTTTCTCCCCAGCCAAGATAGCAAAGCTAAGACATGACATATCAATATTCAATCAAGGAGAAATTGAATTATTTGACGAAGCTTGGAACAGATTCAAAAACATGCTCTGGAAGTGCCATCAACATGGGTTTGATAAAAAGACCCAAATTCGATTCTTCTACACAGGGTTACTTCCATACCACAAGAGCATGGTGGATTCAGTTTCAGATGGCTCAATATCCACACGAACAGTTGATGGGGCATTGGAATTATTTGAGAGAATAGCTAACACATCAACCACGTGGTCTTCTGAGAGGGCGCTTCCAAGGAAAACTCTGGGTGTGTACGAAGCGGATACTTATTCAGCAATATCTGCAAAAATTGACTCTCTCTATCACAAGGTGGAAAGCTTATCACAAGCAGCACAAGCTAAAAAGAGCAATTGTGAGGAATGTGGTGCTGAGCATAAAACATCGAAATGCCCAATACTCATGCAAGGAATTGAGCAAGCAAACTATGCTCAGTGGGGACAACGCCAACAACACAATCAATATGGAGAAACTTTCAATCCCAGTTGGATGAAGCATCCCAATTTCTCTTGGAGCAACCAGAATCAAAATAAGCCATAGGGACAATTTCAACAATAAGAGAAGAGGCCTCAATTGGAAGATATGATAGGAAAATTCATGGAGAGAGCCGAAGATACACTTCAAAATCAAAATGCAGAGATAAAAAATTTGGAAACTCAGATGGGGCAGTTGGCCATAGCATTAACTAGCAGAACGCCTAGTAACTTGCCGAGTAACATAGAAATCAATCCCAAAGAGCAAGCCAAGGTCATTAAAACTCGAAACGGAGTATAATTGCCTGAAATCCATGTCAAGAGATCGGGTGTGATTGGAGAGACATCTTTCCATACTGAAGAAAAGACTGTTGCAAAGGAATCAATTTCAAAGGAAAATTCAGAAAAGTCACAGGATAAGGCCAAAGTCACAGTGAACCCCTACGAGCCTTCGACTCCTTTTCCATAGTTGTTGAAGAAGAAAAAATTGGAGCAATAGTACAAAAAATTCCTAGAAGTCTTCAAAAAGCTCCATATCAATATCCCACTAGCCGATGCACTATTCCAGATGCCCTAGCTACGTGAAGTTTCTCAAAGATATTATATCAAACAAACGCAAGCTGGAGGACCATGAGACGGTAATGCTTACGGAGCAATGTAGTGCCAGAATCCAGAAAAAGTTCCACCAAAACTGAAAGATCCAGGGAGTTTCATTGTCCCTTGCACAATTGGTGATTTTTATTTTGATAAAGCATTGTGTGATCTCGGTGCGAGCATTAACTTGATACTACTCTCTATTTTGAGGAAACTATTATTGGGAGAGCCTAAGGCAACCACAGTAACTCTACATCTAGCTGATCGATCACTTACACATCCACGAGGAATTATTGAAGATGTATTGGTCAAAGTGGATAAACTTATATTCCCAGCAAACTTCTTGATTTTGGATATGGAAGAAGACAAGGACGTGCCCATCATATTGGGACGACCATTTTTAGATATTGCAAGAGCCCTCATAGATGTGCAGCAAGGACAATTAACTCTGAGGCTAGGGGAGGAACAAGTCTCTTTTAATGTTTTCAACGCAATGAAATACCCCAAACATTCGTGAGGCCTGTATAGTATACTCTCCATCCGTTCTTATCAATTCAAAAGAGATTAAGGCATTCAATGTGGGATTTCATATGGATGAGGAGAGAATGACAAATCACTTAGAGAAGGACGAGGATGAAATTTGGAGGATAACTGCAGTGCGGAACAAGACCATATTGAGCAAACTATGCAGGTCCTTCCAAGCCATATTTAAAGTGTCATAAAATACCTGTGCCAAAAGTTGAGCTATCGACTATAAAATAGCGCTGATTGGGAGGCAACCCAACGTCTCTACCCTTTATTTATTTCATTTTGCATTAATCTAGGAATTTTTCAATTTTTCAACATTTTTATTAGTTTAGGTCATCGTTCATCCATGCATGTCAATAAATAGCCTAAGCATAATCTACATGAGTCCCAATGCATTGAGCATGAGTCAAAAGGTTGAAGTCCTATTTTAGTTAGTCATGGGTCAAATAGAACAAAGTGCATGATTAGAGCTAAACTTTGTTGGTGATTCACATTTTTGTGATATGAACTTTATATTGAGATATAATTTATGCATCTTACACACCAACAGTGTACACATGCACCTTGAAATAAGTTTGGCGGAATGGTGAGTCACATGGATTCCTTGATGCACACCCAAGTTTATCAATTATCACCGTAAGATATAATACATATACTTTGCACTTTTGTAGGATGTCACCAAAAAGACCTCAGCAGGAAAAGAAAAGGTCGGCTCCACATATGGCATTGCAGGTCCCGATTTTCGACCACCTCCATACTGATCAGGGGAGTACTGGTTATCCCATTTCTTGTGCTTTCAATTTATTTTGTCCCTCACTTATATGTATTTGAACTTCTACTTTATTTCAACAATGAGGGCAAAATTTTGTCTTTAATCTTTCGTTAATCTTACATTGAGGACAATTTTTTATACAAGTTTGGGGGTGACATACTTTTAAATCTTTATCTGTGTTCATCAGTATCTATATTCCATTATTGCATAATGTATGCATGATGAGCGTTAAAAAAAAATCGTCCATGCTTGTGTGGGATTTATAACCTTGCTAGCTATGATGTTATTATTGGACTTGTTTAAACTATAAAACCTTGGATCTGGTGTTAATTAACTAACTAATACTTGTTGATGTAACACTTGACATTATCTATGCATGCTATTCATGCTTGACATGTTAGATGAATGACTGGATTTTGAGCATAAAGTAGGAAAAGAATGATAACCCTCTATTGAATTAACCCGTAAACTACCTAAAGATAGTTTGGTGATGGTTGAGCTATTATAGGGGAGCATTGAGATGAGCGGGGGCTCCGTGCATGAATTTTATTATGTGGATTACCTAGACCAGTGAGATGAAGATTAGGTGAAAATCTTAAATTAGGGGTTGGTTCTGGAAACAAAATGTCTAGAACAATAAGGGCATAAAATAAATTTGTGAGAACAAGACACTTCTTTTCATGCCTTTTTGACTCGAGCAAGTAAGCCTGTAAGGATATTTCAAAATATCGTAAGGTCAACTGGCCTGGGAGTCACCGGCCTAAAGTTCGGTAAAAGAGTCATATATAAAGCAAGAGGGATAGAGGATAATAAAAAGTCATCTGATCCAACCTTTATAACTCGAGTGAATAAGCCTGCAAGGGTTTAAAACTTGGTGCCCTAAAGCCAACTGGTTTGGGAGTCATCGGCCTAAAGCTCGCTAAAGGGGTTATATAGAAAGCAAATGAGAAGATGATATATTAAAAAAAATGAAAAGTGAGAAAAACAAATGAGAGACAATAACATGAATAAAAGCCCTTAGACATTTGGTTGAGGAAACTATACCTTTGAGGCGAGGCAAGTAACCTATTTTAATCTTGAGTGTCAAAGCAATCAAACTTGGGAGAGCCTTTACTTGTTGAAATGTAAACTAGTGATAATGAGATTAATCCAAACTATGAGAGGGTGGGGACTACAGCTATGTAAATTCCTAATCTTAAAACACAACACCGAGATAATTGAGTGAAAAGAATAAATTTGGGGGGTTTGTGTATCTCTCGAGCGAGTAAGGATACATTTGACCACTTGGGGTCGGGACTCAAATTCATCATGAAGCTAATATGTTGGCATGAATTCACACACACACGTCAAGTACGCATTTAACAGGTAAAGGTTGATGTCATTTTTGCACTGATAAATTTTCATAAAGTCTAATACTTAGTCCAATCCTAAGCCACGGCAGGGTATTAAGCCATGTTTGTTCACAATTAACTCGCTATCTTGTTTGAGGACAAACAATAGTTCAAGTTTAGAGGGTTTGATAAGTGTGTTTTTGCACGCTTATTTAGATCACAAACATGACTTAATTACGAGAAAAATGTTTAAATTGTGATTTAATCTCGTTGAATTCATGCAATATAGGTGTTTTTATGGAAATGGTGGAATTCAGGAGAAAAGAGTCGAAAAAGGACTAAAATGGAGCAAACTTATAGTTCGGGGACCAAGTTACAAATAATCCATAGATGAGATGGAAATGGAATGAAGATTTATGAGTGCTAGAGGTCAATTGGATGAGAAAAGGAGTCAAGAGGTGAAATATGGTCGAAGTATTATCAAGTATAAACTTTCAGGCGAAAAAGCTATGCTTGTGATTTTTAGTATTTATTTGAGATCCATTTTTGGCATAGTAAATATTAGAAATTGAGGAAGTCTATTTCTATCAAAATGTATATCTGTGAGTTCTCTTTCCAATGCATTTTGAATAATCTCAATTGGATATCGGGAGAGGAAGATATGATCAAAATACTGATAGCTGCCCGACGGAAAAATTTCTATAACCATTCAGTCGCATGGTTATAATTCCTTGCAATTGTACAAGGCAATACAAGGAAAAATCTAGGCTGAAACTTCTGAACCATGCGGTAGCATGGCTTTATACTATGCGGTCGCATGGTATAAAAATGTGACGAAGTGTCAGGTTTCCTTATTCTACTCAAACATGATTTAATAAGATTTTGGGCAACTTCCTTGACCTAATTCCGTCCCCCAATAAATACTAGACGACCTTGAAACATAAAGAGGAGGAGAATATGCACAATTTTGGAGGATTTGGAGAGGAAGAACAACGCAAAAACAAGGCAACCCACTTCAAGATTCAAGATTTCACTTCAAGAATCAATTGCGTGATGTTCTTCCTTGGTTTTAATGACTGTTTTTCTTTATTTCTAATTATGTTAGGCTAGGTTTTCATGTGCTAGGATTTGCGATGAACCTTATATTATGAACCCTTAATCTTGAATTTTATTAATTTGACTTTAAAACATATTTTTAATTATTGAATGTTTGGCATGAATTTTATTTTCTCTACAATTATGTGCGCAATAGTTGTATGAGTTTTGTGCCTTATTTTACCCTCAAGAGATGGAAAATAAGTTACACATTATGTTAATTGTCGTAAAGTTTGATAAGGGATAGAAATATACCGCTATGCTTTACGTGATCTTTAAGTACTCATAAATCTTTAATGCATTTTTATATGTTCGCATCCGTCATAGAAATATAGTTGGATCGCATGTGAAAATAGGTTTAATTCTACTCGAGAGAGATTGTTAAACAAATTAGGAATATTGGTCTTCATAATTGAATCGTGTTGTCAATTTTATAAAATTCGGATTAAAGGGGATTGATATAAGGGGATTCGGGATCCTAATACGCATTTCACTATCATATTTTTATAAAACTCGCATTTAGTTATAATCACGCATTTAATCTAGTTAATTTAGGCTTTATATTTATAAGTAGGTTATTAAATTGTACTTTAGTTAGCAAAAATATCAAGAATTTCAATTATTTCGGTTGAGATGACGATAGGTAAAATTGAACTAATCAATCTCTGTGGGACAATATTCGGACTCATTTAATCCACTTTATTACTTGTTAACGAACCGTACACTAGCTATAGTTTTAAATGGAAAGAAATAATTTCGTGACTAGTGTACACCATAGTGTACATGTAGCATGGTTCATACCGATTAAACATTACTATTTGTACACTGATTTTTGACACGTTATTGTCAAGTGCCAATTGGATGGAAAAACTATTTGAAATTTAAACTGTCGAACAGCGTAATGTCACGTGGCAAATTATAAACTAAAGCGTGAACACCATAGTGTACATGTAGCAAAGTTCTTACCGATCGAACTTTGCTATTTGTATACTGATTTTTAATACGTTGCTTGACACTTGTATTGTTGTCAAGTACCAATTGGATGGGAAAACTATTTGAAATTTAAACTGTCCAACACGGTAATGTCACGTGGCAAAGTGTAAACTAAAGTGTGAATATCATAGTGTACATGTAGCAAGGTTCTTACTGATTGAACTTTGCTAGTGTACACTGATTTTTAACACGTTGTTTGACACTTGCATTGTTGTTAAGTGTCAATTGGATGGAAAAATAGTTTTAAATTAAAACTGTCCAACAGGGTAATGTCACGTGGCAAAGTGTAAACTAAAGCGTACACCATAGTGTACGTGTACCAAGGTCCTTACCGATTAAACTTTGCGATTTCTACACCAATTTTTGACACGTTCTTTGACACTTGCATTTTTATCTATTGTCAATTGGATTGGAAAACTATTTGAAATTTATATTGTCCAGTAGGGTAATGTCACGTGGCAAAGTGTAAACTAATGTGTGTACACCATAGTGTACACGTAGTAAGGTCCTTACCGATTGAACTTTGCTATTTGTACACTGATTTTTGACGTGCTGTTTGACACTTGCATTGTTGTCAAGTCTCAATTGGATGGAAAAACTATTTGAAATTTAAACTGTCAAGCAGGGTAATGTCTTGTGATAAAGTGTAAACTAAAGTCTACACCATAGTGTACATGTAGCAAACTCTTTACCAATTGAACTTTGCTATTTGTGCACTAATTTTTGACTCGTTGTTGGAAGCTTGCCTTGTTGTTAAGTGTAAATTAGATGGGAAAACTATTTGAAATTTAAACTGTC